GATTCCCCTTGTGCTCATTTATTCAGCGGTTGCCTAGAGTTGCACTGACAGAACTCACCATCAATGTGAAATTATAGCACGGTTAGAGCATTGAGCTGCGCTGGCTGGGCAGCTCTGCAGAGCTTTCCAAATACTTCCCGTTGAATGGGGACCTTAATGAGGTGTGTGACTGGGTTGCTTGTTTATGTGCTTGCTTTGGGCAGGTATTTATTTTTATTTGATAAAGTGGTGATCGTCTGCAAAAGGAAAGGATACAATTATGAGCTGAAAGAAATTATTGAGCTACTCTTCCACAAGATGACTGACGACCCTATGAACAACAAGGACATTAAGAAGGTAGGTGGACCGGGGATTAGCTCTGCTGGAGAGCATTTTGGAGCTGTTTTGGCCAGTCCTTGGGTAGTACGTTCCCATTAGCCTTTTAAAATAGAAACAGAGCTTGCAAAAAGCTGGAAAATAAACGCTCAACTTTCAGGGCAGCCTTACAGAGAGTTGGGAAATGTTTATTAATGTGGGGCTGGGCTTGATCCTTGACCTCCGTCCTTGCAAAACAGCCCTGAAGAAGCTGGGATGATTGGAGTTAGGAGAGAGGAAACTGCTCCCTGCTTTCCGGCCCGCGGGCTGCGAGGGACCGGCAAGGAGCAAACATCAGATGGGGCGGAGAGGAGGGCAGGGAGGGAAGGTCCATCCGGATGCTCTCGCTCCCGCGAGTCGTGGGGTGGAGGAGCCTGGAAAGGCAGCATGAGCGTTGCCGACCAGCCTGCCAAAATCAGCACTCGGAGCACGGTTGCCACTGAAGGACCATCATTTTGCCAGTGGTTTGGGGCTCAGTCTGCAGCCATGAAAGAACCACCCCCCCCAGCTATCGGTTTAGCAGAGACCCATTAGCTTAATCCACTTTCGTGCAGTGGGAAGAGGTATTGTACAATGGGACAAGGGACATTTGTAAGAATAGCCAATTTTACCACTTGGATGCTGAAGAAATGCTGCTAGCTTTGTGTTTTAATGAAATATTTCCACTTTGCTCTCCTATGCTTTCTAGTCTCATGGAAAAATGGTAAGCCAAGCACACAGTTTTCTCTTGTGTTTTTCTGTGCAATGTTGTAATGAGACAGGCAGAGCATATGTGCAGTGGGCAGGTCAGATGTTCCTCCTGGGCTGTCAGTTGCTGTCAGGGAAAGATATAATGCCTGGGGAGGATCCATTGGAGCAGAAAAATCTGGGTTCTCTCATCTGCCACCATAAAATCCTATTTGGCCCTAGTGCACGGTGCCCAGCTGATTCAGGCATCATTAGTTGTGATGTTTTAGAGAAAGATGGAGCTCTTATTCCTCCTTCCCTGCTGTTACCTTTGCAAAGG